TTTCAAATGCAGGCAATGTAGTTAGAGTCCCTACTCCTGGGCCAGGTGCAATGGCTCATACCTGCAGTCCGAGCACTCTGGGAGGCCTAGGTGAGCAGATCACTTGAGGTCAGGAATGAGACCAGCCTGGACAACATAGCAAAACCCTGACTCTACTAAATACACAAAAATATAAATTTAAAAATTAGCTGGGTGTGGCAGAGTGCGCCTGTAGCTCCAGCTACTGGGGAGGCTGAGGTAGGAGGATAGCTTGAGCCTTAGGAGACAGAGGATGCAGTGAGCCAAAATCATGCCACTGCACTCCAGCATGGGTAACAGAGTGAGACCCTGTCTCAAATGAAAAGAGAGTTTCTACTCCTAACCACTAAGCTTACATCTTAATGGTATTTTTATTCACAATGACTAATGGAGCTTTCTTCATAACTTCATATTTATCCCAATTAAATTTCATAGTCTACTCCTGAAAACAATGTTCTAACTTATCAAAAGATTTGGAAGGCAGATTATGATATACAGACTATTAGTTATTGTTACAGTGACTACTGATGTGTGACAAACCATCTGAAAATGTAGTTGTATAAAACTATTTTATTATTTTAGATTATGCTCACTGGTTTATTTAGGCAGGAATTCAGGCAGCACACAGCAGAAATGGCTTGTCTCTCCTCCATTATACATGAGGCCTCAACTGAAAAGACTTGATGGCTAAGGGCACCTGAATGCTGGAGGCTGAAATCATACAGACATCTTCACATGAAAGCCTGCCACTCAATGCTGGATAGTGCTCAGACTTCAGCTGGGGCTGCTCACCAAGCACTTGCATGTGTTTTCAATGTAACATGGGTTTCCTAACATGGAGGTTTTAGGTTGTATTTCTTACATGGTGCTCCAACATGCACAGTGTCCTTCTGGGCAACATGAAACCTACATTCCATTTCATGATCTACCCTGGGAAGTTGCGCAGCATCACTTCCACCATATGTCCTTCCACTGCATCCTATGACCCCACCCATTTATTTTACATGCCCCAGGAGGCTGGCACCTATGCATGACATCACCTTAGCAAGATCACTCAATGAGGAGCACAAGCAGATCCCAGGGCAGGAGGAGAGGAATTCGGGGAACATACCCCTTATTTCCTCCTGCTCTGGCACGTTTCCGGCAGTAGTTACCTCTCTCTGTAAATAGAGTTACTGAAGAAGTGTCCCCATCTCCACAGCTCCAGGTATGAGTGGTTTCCAGCAATGCTATTTCTAGTTCTTGTCCCTTTAAAGCTAGGGACACAAATAGCTTTTCTCTACTATAACTCTCTAAATGCCTCAGTATTCCTTGTTTGTTCAGTAACTCTGCCAGTCATTCCATAAATAGTCCCCTCATTCAACTCTCATTTAAACCACTGGCGAGAATTCTAATTTTTATCAGGGTGATGACTGATACAGGCACACAACAGAAACCAAATGGACTGTTCAGAGAATATATGTGAAAAATTAGTAGGACTTTCTAATCTTTTTCTAAGTATTTGATAGAATAGTTTAAAAGTGCAATTATGTTGCTCCATCACTGTACTGAATTTCCAAATTGACAGGAAAGAAATATATAAAAAGATATGTATAGTGTGTGTTAGATGTCTCAACTTTATTCTTTCCAAAATAACCTTTTCTGAAAAGATGAATGATTTTTTTCAAAAGCCTTGCTCAAATAATCATGTTCATTATATTTCTGATTTACTATAAACTCAATCTTAAGTCTTTCATTATTCTTATAAAACATGCTAGCTTCATCATGTTTTCTTCCCCCCAAAGTATTTATAAACAACATACAAATAATTCACTTCATGGCTTTCCTGAAGATTGAAATTAAGCCTACTATTCAGTACCTTCCAGAACTTCCTTTTTGCCCATTATTTTTTAAAACAATATTTACCTATCTCTAGTTTGGGAGAACCATTCCTGCATTTCATGACTTCTCAAAGATGACTAGTGGTGATGAGGATGATTACATCTGTGAGTTCCCTGATTATCCTAGGTAGTATATATATATATCTCACTTTATGATCCCAAATACCTTTAAAGAGGCCAATAAGAGCTAATATTTACTGAGTACCAGATAACCATCTCAGTGCTTCATTGTAACCTATTCACATACACTGTATCCACTGCTGTTTCTTCTGTACATTATAGTATTCAAAAATAAAGGCAATTTATTTTAATTATTGTTTTTCCCCCAAAAAGGAGAACTTTTTCCTTTAAATGTGAAGAAATAGGCCCTTTTTCTCCAGTTCAATGTTTTTAGAAGCCTCATCTCATTTTGACCTAGTTCTAAAATAATTCTTAGGCTCTTGTTACCATCTGTACTTCTTTTCTTTTTTTTTAAATTTTACTGTTTTTGAATGACTGGTTCTATTCTCCTCCTTCTAATATCTATACTCATTATTTTAAGTCAATAACTTCTGCATTCTCTTGAGATCTGGCATCATTTTCTTCTCACTAGACTATATGAAAAGTGAGAACAACTTTGTTTTACTTTCCATCCCTCTTGATTTGTACTGCTATTTTAGAGTTTCTGTCACATCTTCCCACCTGGATTATGATAGCAAGAACTAAATCTTGCATTTTTTTTTAAAGCACACATGAGACAAAATATATATTTGCCATTTACTTGTAATATGTTGTAAAAAAAAATAGTAAGTTTTTGGGTTTTTTTTCTTTTGGAGACAGAGTCTCACTTTGTCATTTAGGTGGGAATGCAGTGGTGCGATCTCAGCTCACTGCAACCTCTGCCTCCCAGATTCTAGCGATTCTCCTCCCTGAGCTTCCTGAGTAGCCGAGATTAAAGTCTCCTGCCACTACATCCAGCTAATTTTTATATTTTTTAGTAGAGATGGGGTTTCACCATGTTGGCCAGACTGGTCTCGAACTCCTGACCTCAAGTGATCTGCCTGCCTAAGCCTCCCAAAGTGGTGGGGAAATTCATACTCTTTAAGGGAATAAGGGGACAACAAAGGTGAATGTAAACTGAATATACAATTTGCCAACCTCAAAACTAAAGGGGAAGGACAATCTGCTTCATAAGTAATTGTGAGATTCTATCCTAGGGTAGGCTGAACAGCAGTGGTGTTTGTTCTACAGCGGAGCAGGTAAGAAAGGCAGTAGTGCCGGGCGTCGTGGCTCACGCCTGTAACCCCAGCACTTTGGGAGGCCGAGGCGGGTGGATCACGAGGTCCAGAGATCGAGACCATCCTGGTCAACATGGTGAAACCCCGTCTCTACTAAAAAAATACAAAAAATTAGCTGGGCATGGTGGCACGTGCCTGTAATCCCAGCTACTCAGGAAGCTGAGGCAGGAGAATTGCCTGTGAGCCGAGATCGCGCCATTGCACTCCAGCCTGGGGAACAAGAGCGAAACTCCGTCTCAAAAAAAAAAAAAAAAAAAAAAAAAAAGAAAGAAAGAAAGAAAGAAAGAAAAAAGAAAGGCAGAAAGGCAGTAGTGCAAAGGGAAGGTCACACGGATCAGACTTTCTTAAATCTGCTTGCCAAACTATAGATGGTGGTTCAGAAATTCAACTTACTGAAATGGATGAAAACGGCTAACTTTAAACTTTTCCAGCTATTCTTTTTGGATTTTAACTAATATCTTTGCCTTAATTTATGTGGGCAGTTTCTACAGATGTTACTAACTTTTTCTAAGCATCCAACATGCGCAGTTAACACTAACAAGCAGGGTGGACCCAGGTGTATGGGCTTACAGAGTTTGGAAGGTCCCCTTTTAAAAGAATACAAAATTAGTTAGAACAACAAATGATTCAGAATGAGAAATGAAATCTCATTAAATGAATGGAGCCATGGAGATCTAGATTCCTTAGTCTGAGAGAGCTTTATGCAATTCACCAGAAACGCTTATTTAGAAATGCTTCCGGTTGCAACCTGTCATTTCCTTCCCACCTAGAACATCTGCAACTCCAGCAGCCCCCAAAACGCCCAGAGGTCTAAGCAAATGAATAGCACTGAAGCTTCAATCTCATTAGCTTCACCTTAGATCTGTCCCTGAGAGGACCTCATTTAAACAATCTGGGGAGAGAAACCACCTGACAAGTTTAAAACAATCTCAGGGCGAGGCACTGTGGCTCAAGCCCGTAAACCCAGCTCTTTGGGAGCTTGAGGTGGTAGAATCTCTTGAGGCCATAAGTTTGAGTCCAGCCTGGGTAAAAAAAAGAAAAAGAAAAACAGCAGGAAACCCCGATGATTCCGATACGCTACTGCCACCTCCAACATCCCATCCCATCCCATTTTGAAAGTTTCACAATGCATAATAGACTAATAATTCTTACAAACAGCGATGTAAAGAAGAAAGGAAATTAATAACCAACTGGCCAATTGTTGATCTGAACATAAAGTATGTGTGGTATATAAAAAGGCGTTTACCTTTTACAACTAAACATAAAATAGTTCCATTTTTTTACTATTCAATAGAAAAGGAAAGAGCACAAAACTGTGATAGTCTGTTTAAATGTCCGCAATACAAGCCTGGGCCTATCATTCCATTTAACCCGAAGTAGAAATAAGTTTTGCACACTCCTCTTTGGAGTCAGAGTATGCTTGTTCACTTTCTAACTTGGGTTTACTTTCCCAGAATAAATGCGGTGGTTAAGTAGGCAGTTTGCTTTACCTAACATTTCCAAGTAACATTAAATTGAACAGGGTTGTTGGTAATTAACACAGCACAGCATTGTGATCTGAACTCAGGTCTTCTCTCAGCAGTAACTTGAGAAACTGGAGTGACATTCAACCTCCCTGCAAAAAAGGTATTTTCCTTTTCTAAAACCCTTTAAGAAATTACAACCAGCGGTCTACACGTACCAAAAGCCTACCCACACCAGTCAATTTCTCTCCAACAGTAAAATAACCCAAGAGCCTTTGGTCCTAAATTTCCCGGGGGCAAGGAAAAATGAAAGCGCTGGCTTGGGCTGGGTGGCAGTAGCTGACCATCTGAAAAATCCTTACCTCCTCAGCGGAGAAGCTTCCTGTTATAAACAACCGTTTTCTCCTGTTCAGGGAGATTTCCTCGAACCTATTCCCACAGGACCTGAGACTCGCCTCGGGTGTCATCCAAGTCTCGAATCCACAACCAACAACACGAAATCAAGAATAATTTCTCTAAACTTGGCTAATCTCTCTCCCAGAGTTCAGGGCTGGTCTCGCCCGAAAAGCAGCTAAGCAGGGGCGGGGGCGGTTTCGAGCCACCCGTCTCCCAGGTTCGGGAGCGGCAGCGAGGAGAGATCCGCGGCAGAGAAGCAGAAAGAGAAATCACAACTTTGCAGACTCCAAGAAGCCACAGCCCCGCCAAACAATAGGTCAAAGTGCGGAGGAGGGAGTGGCTGCGGTTCGAGGCCCCGAGGCGACGCGGCCCCGGATGAGGCCAGACCTGGCAGGCGGGGTCCAGTAGCCCGGGGGACCTCACCCGTCCCCAGCTCAGAGCCGCCGCCTCGAGAAGGCGAGCGCGCCAGAGACAGCCGTCAGCGCAACGCTGGCAACTCCCAGAGTTGCGTTGGAAGTTTCCCCGGACTCGCCGCCGCCGCCCTCACCTTGCTGAACACCTCCAGGTCGTCCTCGTCTTCGTCCAGATCCAGCACCTCCGCCTGTAGCAAGGCGGAAGAGCCGCTGCTGCCCGGGAAGGGGGTGCCGCCCCCGGGGCTCTCCCCGTCGGCGCCCCCGGCCGGGAGGCCAGAAGAGCGCGCCTGCGATGCCCGGCGCTCGCCCTCCATCCCGAGAGTGCGCGCCCGGCCGGCCGCCGCAGCCGCCAGCCCGGCTCCTCCGAGCGTGCCCATTGGCTCCCGCGCCTCCCCGGCCGGCCCCGCTCCAGCCCCTCGCCCGCTGCGCAGACGCGGAACTGCCGGGACCAGCGCCGGCCCAGGCGGGGCGCATCCCCACGTCGCCCGGGGCTGGCTGGAGGCGCGGGACTGGGACTCTCGGACTCCGGCTAGGGTGGACAAAGGGACGACCGTCCTCTGGAGAAGAGGAGAGACTCGAAGGTAGGAGTGGGCGGCCTCGCATTGACCTGGTCGGGGACCACAGAGTGACGGTTTCCGCGTTGGCGGGGTCTGGGAAGAAGCCACGGAGCGAACCGTCCACTTCGCGGTTTTCACAACGAGGCTGGAAGGCAGCCGACCCAGCCTGCCAAGAGAGAGAGAGCAACAGTACTGTATTTCCTGTATTTAATGGTTGCCTTTCTTCTTGGTTGTGACTTTCGAGCTAATGTAAAAATAAAGATATGAAAACTTCCCCTGTTTTGTAATTGATTTTTGACCCAGTGAGTGGCCTGTGCGGTCATTTCACTGTCAAGCCAGGAAAGCCGAGCTTTACAAACTATTTTCAGCCACTTTCAAATGCATCTTTACTCCTGGACTCCTTCCTGAAGTTAATGAGCAGAATGTTACCAAGACCCAAGGACAACTAGCAAGTCTGGAAAACTGCCACGGAGAAATCATCTTCAGTCTTTGCACTGCCAAGACAAAGCTTTAATTATTTACTGCTATTATTCAAAAACAAAACTGATTTCCAAAAATAATGGAAAATTGAGCCTAGGTTGATATATATTTTTTTAATTTATCTTCAGGTTTTATTATTTACTTCCCTCGGCCCCACCTCTTTTCTGTAGGCCCATTTAAAAATAAAAATTTTAAAATACTTTAAGCTATATGTAAGAATTCCTTATTTGGGGAAATAGAGAATATCTTTATTTCTGATTAGAGGCAAGGCCATAATGATATATTGTCTCTTCATTATTCAAATATACCTCTCATTGATTTCAGACATGCACCCACCCTTCAGTCAGGTTGGTCACTGCCTCATGAGTATCCAGACTTGTTCCTGTGCTTGTTGATTTCTGTACCGTAAATGCCATCTCCTGCCCATCCTTCAGAAATTAAACATAGTCCCAACTCTTTTAGAAAGACTTTCTAAATGATAGTCTGTTCTCAATTTAGCATTTAATTTTAGTCCATTCTGCAAATTGCATTTGTTTCATGTACATGTTTTACATTCCTTAGTAAATGATAACATTTTCAGGTTGGGGATCCTGATATGTATTAACCATAGTATCAGATGTACTCTGAAAATGCTCTCTGCTAAGGTCTGTAAAGAACAGACGTTAACAGACTTTATTTTTTCCTCATTAAGCTCATTTTGGCTGGTAAGAAAGATTCAAGGTTTTCTAATTGCAATCTGAACCAGGAAATTCTTAATGATGCTGTAACTCACAGAATCACTAGAAAGTATAGAGAATGGGCTCAGAAAAATGGGAAGAAAAAAACAAGGCTGCACAGCTGGGACTGTAGCCAAAAACCAGGCCACAGAGCCAATGGTACAGACATTGCCTAATAGTGGATGCTGCACCATCTTCACCAGTGTCAATATTGTCATTAACACTGATGTTACTGGACTCCACTTGCTGTCCCTGACAGCAGTGTCACAGCTGCCTCTGAGAACTTCCCTGCTATTACTGCCACAAAAATGTCTCCACCACCCCCTTTCTCTGTGTTGATTTTTCTAGGATTAAAACCTTGGAGAGCATGTCTGCTGGCCAGATTGGCCGAGTTTCATGGGGATTCCGAAGGTAGAGAATTTTCTAAACATAGAAAGGTCATATTGATGCTTGTCAACCAAAAAAGAAGAAGACCAACAGGAAGAAGAGGAAGCGGAGGAGGGAAAAACCTGAGTATAATTCACCCTTTGGCTGTCCAACAATAATACTGCCTTTCTTCACATATGCCCCCTACCTCCATGCTTTCAGACCTGAGCATGCAGTTCACAGCCCGCCAAAGGAAGAAAATCCCAGACCTACTCATTATTAGTACAACTCCAAAGCAATATGCCTATTCCTTCAGTAGTCTCAGCTTCCCATTAAATGAGACTATCACTAGGTTTTTTAATGGAAGAATTCTTATTCAGGTACTAAAAGTCTTTAAACCAGCATAGTTCAAAACTTTGAGTATAGGTATAATATTAAGAGGAGCCCTACCAACTTATGTCCTGTTTAGGAGAAATAGTATCATATGTTAATTTCTGGTTTCATGAATATACATCTTGTCAAAAAGCTTTTTCTTCCTTGTACTTTCCAGATAGGATATCCTCAGACCATAACTGAGTCTTTACAATTCCATTCCACCATCTATGAAGTCTGCTCTTTCTAGTAATGGGTTTTGTAATAAGATAAATTACCCCATGGGCATTGCCCAAAAGCTTTATTTCTTTTACTCGAACATGGTTTAACGAGTTAGAAAAAATATATAATGTGCAAAATCTGATGAGGAATAGACCAGTCAATAAGTTCATGGATGAGCATGTCGAGAGAAATTTGGTGAGCAGAGAAGGCAAAGCCAATCTGACTTCTCTACTAAAGACAAATCATAGGATCCTCCAGAGTGGCAGAATAAGGGCCCTGCATAGCTGGTACTGTGGCAAGTTGAGCACTGAGCAGTAGCCAATTATCCTTTAGTGAGGGGAAATCCTTATTTTTGAGCCAATGCACAGTATGATTCCCTGCCACTATGGCCACTTCTATGGCTTGTTCTCCATAGAACAAGCACTGGAGTTTCTAGAAAAGCAATAGGATTAACAGCCGTGGGAGAATAAGCATTATTGTCAAACTTATTTTTGATAATATAAATTTATCAAATGAAATGCTCTTTTGGAAAACGTCATTGTGGGCTGTATATAAATATGCTTTTATTCTGGAACCATTCAAAGAAACTCACCCACATACATTTTCTGAAACCTTCTTGACCCCAAGATCCTACCTTCTTTCTTCTAAGTCCTCTCAAGTCAAACCTCTAGCCTTTGTCCTGGGAACAGCATAGAATCTTCACTCTAACTCCCCTTTGAAGCATAGTTGGCACTGTTATATCCCAAGGGGAGGATTTCTTTTGTCCACTGCCCTTTTGCCCTGCAACAACTACTATCTGATTCTGCAAATGATAAAGATCCATCTGTAAGCCAGATCTGGAGTTTTTCCCCCTTAGTTAACTCTTCAGGGAGAACTCCCTATGAGATCATAGGGGTAGACCTGCTGGGAACGAGAGCCAAATGCTCACGCTGTGTATGCTTAAATAACATTTCGGCATGAGTATGGTTTGCTGAAGGAAGGTTCATTCAATTTTAGGAGTTTTTCATTGTTATAGCACCCATTTCCTGAGGAACTGCTTGGATCACATGGTCACCTGATGTCACATGCTCATGTATCTAGTTGATATCGTTTGACTATTTGTCCCCTTCTAAAGTTTTGTCGAAATGTGATTTAAAAAAAAAAAAGAAAGAAATGTGATCCTAAACGTTGGAGGTGGGGCCTAGTGGAGATATTTGGGTCATGGGGGAGGATCCCTCGTGAATGACTTGCTGCCTTCCCTGTGCTAGTGAGTGAATTCTTGCTCTATTAATTCACACAAGAACTGATTGTTAAAAAAAAAGAGCATAGCACCTCTCTCTCTCTCTCTCTGCCTCTTTTTCTGTTTCTCTCTCACTCACTTGCTCCCTCTCTTGCCTTATGATACCCCTGTGCCCCCTTTGCCTTCTGCCATGACTATGAGCTTTCTGAGGCCTCACTAGAAGCCAAGAAGATGCTGATGCCATGCTTGTACAGGCTGCAGAATTGTGAGCTAAATTAATCTCTCCTCTTTATAAATCACCCAGCCTCGGGTATTCCTTCATAGCAACACAAAACAGACTAATGCATTCATCTTTGCCAGAAGCTGATAACTAGCCAAGGGCTGGTGCCTTAAATCTATCAGAGAGAGCATGTTTTGCTCTAAAATGTTAGTCTTTTTTAACTTTCTTCCAGAACTTATCGCAGGCCCCAGAGAGTATTCGTATTCTCTACAGGTTCATCAGTAGTATTAACAGTGAAAGATAATTAGTGTCTACTTTGAGTCAGACACTCTTATAAGTACTTTATATATGGTTACTCATTTAATCTTCACCAACACTTTATGATGTAGATGCTATTATTACTATCCCCGTTTTACAGATGAAGAGACTGATGAACAGAGTTTAGTAATTTACCCAAGGTAAGTGGTCAGTGGGAAATAATTTACTCCTCATTGAGAAGAGTGTTGCATATGTTGTCTTAAAAAATTAAAAAGAGGGCCAAATGTGGTGGCTCATGCCTGTAATCCTAACACTTTGGGAAGATGAAGCAGGAGGATCACTTGAGGCCAGGAGTTCAAGACCAGCCTGGGCAACATAAGGAGACTCCATTGGTATAAAAAAAATTAATTAGCTGTTGTTGGTAGTGCATGCCTGTAGTCTCAGCTACTAGGGATGCTGGGTGTGAGAATCATTTGAGCTCGGGCGTTCCAGGCTACCCTGAACTACGACTGTGTTACTGCACTCCAGACCCATGACACAATAAGACCCCATCTCTAAAGAAAAATAAAATATAAAGAAGGATTTACATGGATATTCAGGGGCTCTCAGCTCTTGGAATTTAGCAGAACAGATAATTCTAACATTCTTCCACTACCAATCTTTAAGAACTGTAATAAGTGTCTTTAAATTCATGGTTGAAGTTGCAAGTTGCAAAGAAGTAATTAACTTCCCGGACACAAAACACAAAGTAACTTTATGTGAGAGAATGAGATTGGTAAACATTTGGGCTGCTGCTCTGCCTGTCCCCAGGATGGAATGTGTAGGATTAGTCTCAATAATCTAAAGGTTTGCCTTTGAATTATCATAGGAATAATGCAAATGTAAACTTATAAGATACTCAGTCAATAACAGGATCA